CCCCCATAGCGTGTGTGGGGTGGAGATATGTCCATAATCCTCCTTCAAGATAGGAGAGATCAGAAGCTAAAGACATTTTGCCCAGATTTTGCGCCCACGCCAAGGTCGTCGCACAATGATCGACAAGAGAGATGAGAACTAATGTGAAGTGATCATCGGGATTGAAGGATCTATTGGACAGAGAAGTAACGATGGGCTTTATATAAGTAATCCCCCAGCAGCCAGCAGTGCCAAGAGCAAGAACTCATGGCATATATGGCATAGAGGTCAGCGGGCGCGTCCTCGAGGGAAACGGCAAGATCATGAATGGGCGAACAAGACCTTAAAAGAAACAGGCGTGGTCGTATGTAGTGCATAATTAAATAAAACGAGAGGTTGTGACAAAAGGGGACACACAAGCACACGGAGCATGGTGACCACCTTGAGGCGTTTGGGCCATCCCCGACCTGTCATCGTTTCGGCGCATCTTTTAATCGTTACGGGGACGATCGAAGATGGTCAGTGAGGACGCACGAAAGACTATTCCGAGTCCTCGAGATCTAAAATGGTCAAATTCCACGAGTTCAAGATATTGCAGAATCCGAGAAGAACGCAATAGGGCCATGGGTGCAGCCAAGGCAAATCTCTCACTCGGTAGGATCGTTCTTGTCATCCAAGTCTTTCTATCCGAATACAATCCGCGGCGCGTGGTGACGCGTCCACGGTCCTGGCATATCCTGGTCAAGATAAAAGGTGGATTGGGGCAGGGTTCCCACGCAAACCTAGTTAATGTTGACCTTTCCTCCAACCCATTTGAGCCGCAAATTAGTACAAAAAATATCAGAACTACGGAAATGTTCCTATCCCATCCAACGAGTTGTACCGTGTGTATCAGTGTTACATCTTTACTTGGAAGCTCACGATGCGCCGCTCTCTTCGTCATCGTAGACCAGTCTTGTTGTTTCCTTCTCCTCAAGATGAGCTTCAAGTTCTCTTTGTGCCAAGCCGTGCTTGCGTAGGTTTATGATCATCTTGGTGACTAGAACTGTTGTTGCGCACCACAGGAATCTTCAGTGCGTGTCAGTATCGCCAGGCAATGCTTGGAAACAGACGTTTAGCGAACATCACGTAGTAGAAGACAACGGAAAGCTATCATGAATTATGTTAAAATAATTACCAGGAAAGCTTCGAGAAATTTCTCACCGGAATGAATATCGTCCCAAGCAGTTTAGCCCCATTCAAGCCTAGAATTTCATCTACTCGTCAACGTCGGTTAAAATTTGCCACTGAATTCTTCTCTCACAAAAGACGGCCTGTCGAATACTACTGAGTTGACTGACGAGAGACACAGGGAATTGGTACGAACGAGGATCTTTCCAAGACCATTTTCATGTAGGACGCGGCGGAATCTGGAGTTGCCGTATTTGGAACTCTTGAGGGAGTGGAAAGAGATTGCCACCAGGGCGAAAGTTTCGAATACCATCTATGAAGAAAGAAGCTAAGGATCCAGGCAGCTAGCTGTGTCTACCCTGTTCATTACTCACACCGGGTGCAAAAGTAGACCAGAAAATACCGCGTTCTGTCAAAATACAATGCGTGACCTGATTTGATAGATTGGGTGCATCTGTCCCGCCGTCTGAAAAAATAAGTCCTGTAGCCACGACAAATGCTGCCCAACCAAAGAGGAGCTTAGGACATAAACACATCAGTTTGAGGGGTGCACTCACGTGTGACCTTGATGCTAACAGCGATTGCAAACGCCACGATGGCCATCTCTGTTAGGAGAAATGCACCAAGTGTCGCGAACACGAGATATCGATCACGGCGCGACAGGACCCACAGCCTTAGCATGACGAAAACTGCGCCAGTTAAGATCAAACTACACGTGGGGATAGAGATCGTTATCAGGGAGCCACCACGTACAATGCATAGGTCCGGTGGTCGCAATACAAATGCACACCTGTGAGAATGGTTTGATGGTTTGAGTGCTGCACAGGGGGGGGGGGTAAAATGTCGGCTTACTGCAGTAATGAACCACTTTTGGCAGCTTTCATCCAAAGGTAATGGATCAGTCATCGGAAAATCGAGAAGGGGTTCTGGCTCACAACTACTTATATTGGATCAGCAATCAGCAATCAATGACATGGGGATGGAAAGAGGCACTCACTGAAGTCGACAGATGTGTGTCCCCTATCATACTCAGCTCTGCAAGGCACTTGTAAGATAAGCAGACAGCGAAAAAGACCAGCCCTACGATGATTGTGCCACACAATACTGCACGGAATCGCATAACGAAGCACTAGGAAAAGAAGTTTCGGCGCCGACCACCTGGCGTTCCAGATATATTTCACTTCATCGTCGAACGTAAGGACGTGATTGTAGAGCAGAATCTAGAAGGATCAATGTCTTGAACATCCTTGATGTCTATCATGGTTTGCGTAAAAGAAGAGGGTCATACCACTACGCCTGCAGCTAGAGGCCGTAATAAACAAGAGAAGAGAACCTTCAACTATATGTTGTACTCACCTGCAATGTAGCGCGATCCAGCTACCAGATACTCCTCTTCCGACATGTCCCAATACTCGAGAAACCGACCGTGAATGTGCTGGCCAGACTATACTGGGGACTAGGTAGGGTAACAGAGCTCGACGATTCACAGGCTTAATATCACTCCAGAAGTTATATATGTACAGATATAGCCATAAGCTGAAACGTCGGAGTGGGCACGGCCTGATAGAACAAAACAGAAAGGCGGCGAGTGATCGCTTCCAAAATGATCATCGTGCCGACTCTGTACACTGGCTTGTATGAGGTCGCTATTGAATAAGACGACTTCTAGAGGCCGAACAGGAAGCCGATTGTGGGTGGGAGTCATGCTTGCATGTTTGGGCTAATGCAGAGGCTTAGAGCTCCGGGGATGACGCGATAGCGAGGTGTGGCTTGCGGACCGAGGCCGGTGACGTGAGGCGTTCAAGGTGTGAACTATCGCCAAGGTCGGGAAATGGGATGCCGCTTGGGTGTTCCGCTGCGGTGCGTGATTTTGTTGGAGATCTTAATCTTACGTGAATGTCAGGCAACATAGTAAGGGACCGACATAGAGTGTCACACACAACATTTGGCCTGGGATTTAAACAAAAGAAATCACGATGGGAGACAGGCATCCTTGGATACCAAGTCTCATGTATCATTGCTGTAGAAAGAAACAGTACTCATGACATACGAATCCTACACGATTTGAAATGATATTCGTAAAGTAAACTCACTCGGTGTCCAAGCCTCGAGGCCGCGGCAGTGTTTCCATCTAAACGAGTCAACGGGTAGGGTATATAGACCATGATTTTCTTGCTTCAAATTTGCGATGAGTGGAAAAGATTGATTCCCTGTGATGTCACTAATTATAAGAACACATTTAACCTGCTTAATATACTAGGTTGTTATCCCCCTCGTTCATCACAAAGATATGCATCCATCTATAGCCTACACGCACCCGAGTTTGCTAAGATTATAGTAGCATTTGGTAAATGCAGTCTGTCGACTCCTGATAGTTATATCAGTTCGTAAGCAGATGATGGTATCATACGTATTCAGTTATCGGATGCATATCTTTATGGATAGACTCTGGATAGACTTGGGTGGGCGACCGCGCCAATTGCGAGTTGGCAGTCCAACAATTCGACACACTGACTTTTCACTTTTGATGCCGGATTCTAGTTTTTTTATGAACTCTTCACTTTTCTCGAAGTCCGACCTTCTCCTTTTGAACTAGTAGGTACTTGTTATGATGATTACTTTACAAGCTGTTGTCGACAATCTTTGGAGTCGGCGGGATACGATGTGGTGCCATCTAAACAATTACAGAGAATGACTCTACATGTCCTGTTCGATTAGTTGGTTAAATCATATCGTTGTGGTCCCCGGAAGGGTAGCTCCGATAAGCCGGACGTTCGAATCCTCCACGGGACAATTTTGCCTTAGTTTTGCCCCTCTGTTCTCGTGCCTTCAAGACGTCTTTATCGTGTGTATTGTCACGTAGAGCTTCCAGGAGATCAGGTCGTCCGGCGTGAATGGGCATTTGGGCGAGGGGCAAGTTTGACAGGATCAGGCGTTTAACGCATGCAGCCAGAGCTTCCATCCGTTCTGCACGCCGCTAATGCCTTCGAATTCATTGTTATGGCTTCTGCCCCTCAGAAGGCGTAAATTGATTTGGTGCCGCTGGGGTTGTTTACAACATTGCAACTATGTGATCCAATAGAATCTGTGATGATCATGACAGGAGGCGTAATACTCATTGTAGAAGCGCACGGGTCAGAGAAGAGAATATTGGGGGTGGCGTGTAGAAGATAGATTTGCGGATCTGGCAGTACATTATAGCTAAGGGGTACGTTTGTGCTTCGATTGTAAGATGAAAGTCACCACAGCACGGAGTTTTCCGAATTATCCTTGGGCAGGAACAACCACCACGGGTGGACTTGACAGTGACTACTAGCTGGACTCTAGGCTCGTTCATCGTTCGTCCCAATGCCCAGCATCTTCTCTCGTTCTCGTAAAAATTCAACTCCAAAAAAACATTCTTTACCTCCACCTCAAGAATCCAGCGTTCTCGACGAGTTTGGCAGAATCTCCAGCAGAATCTCCAACCTTACCACCAATTCCCCCGCTACAGCCTCAAAAAAGGACAAGAAGAGGGCAAAGGAGGAGGAAAGACGGGTCAAGGCACAGGGTGCTGCACGCGAATATAGCCAGAGTCCAGACGTACCACCACCCATCCCCGATGGAAGCTTCCTGCCGCTCAATCTCGAGCGCCCGAGGGACGAGTCTACTCTAGAACATGATTACGGCTATTTGGCTTATCAAAGGCATGTCGTTCTCGGCCTCGAACAGGTGGCGCGTCTAGTCATCGTACTTTCTGACGAGCTGGGGACGCGAGGTGGCATTACCACCCCCTTTATTTTTTCTACGACGGCGCTGGATATTTCGTCGTCGGCCATTAAGAGGTTGATTCAGGCTTTCATTGAAACCTGCGCCAATCAGTCGGCCCAAGCTGCCGCAGATGCAGAGGTCCGCTGGAGAGACGAAGCACGTTTTGCGGGACCGCACGAGCTCGGAATGTGCTTGCGATGGGGTCTCTCCAGAGCCATCAGATCCGTCGGTGCTCAGGATGTGCGTGGCCTTCTCTCATGGGACCGCTACGTCGAGTTTCGAGATTCAGAAGCAGGTAAGCGCGTCTGACATCTAATCTATATGTCGAACTTTCACTCAATGATCTTCCCCAGTCCAAGGCTATCCTCCTGCCCATTTCTCCACCCTTCTTCAGGATTTGAATCCAACCCTTCAAACAGTTATTATCACATTACTCACTCTTTTATCACGCCTGACCGCAAACAGCACGAGTTCCGGCCATACCCCACCAACCCTGTCCCCCTTATTCGGGCCTCTTCTTTTCGGTCTCGGCCCCGCCACACTTGCATTCCACCACACATACACGCACTACCTCCGCGCTGTGAATGCCATGGAGCACCTTCAACTGGTCTTCATTCGCTGGCAAGATTGCCCCCGCACCACCGGCGATGCGATTATCACTGGCAGCGCTGCCGCCCTTGGCGTTCCCACTCGCCTTAAGGAGTGGATCAAAGGCTACCCTACGATGTTGCCCTTCCTGCAGGACCCCACCTCCGATCGGAAGCCGCAGGCACGTCGCGGCGTGCGTACCGTACGCGTCATGAGCGTGCGCAGGAACGTGCGGATGTACTCACCCGACCTCGTTAAGAGCGCCGCGTCATGGGCGCACCGCCACGACGCGTCTGGGCCTAGCAAGAACGGACTGCTCGTGTCGAAGGAGTGGGGCCGCATAGCACCTGCAACGTTGAAGCTGATCCCACGCTATTCTGATGCGTATAGGAAACGCATGGATCTGCCTGCGAACTTCCAGCCCGACATGGGGGCGGCTTCTGCGCCTGGGATGAACAGTGTATCATCGACATCTTCGTACGCCTCGTCGTTTTCCACGAACACCACCAATGGGGAGAGCGATTATTTCGGGCTCGGTATGAATACACGTGTAGGCGAGGATCGGTTTAGGAGTCTGACGGATTTGAGGTGGGGTGAGTTCGAGTCCATGGGCTTTAGTGGGCTTGGGGACGAAAAGAAGCTGCAGTTCGACCTAACAGAAACTGCGAGAACTGTGAGTTTATCTACCATTTCTGCCTATCATGCTTGTTTCCCGATTAGTGAGTTACCTCGAATTCTCATGATCGCGTCTTTTCATTTAGGAACGTTCCGTGAAGCGTGAGACTCTTTCATGGAATGACTTCTCGTCAGCAGGCTTTACCCGTACGGACGAGCCTCTGAACGCGACACTTCAATTTAGCCCTCCCGTTGCGAAGACAATATCCTCATGGCCAGCACACAACGCGGAAATGTCAAAAAAGCTTAAAAAGACGGAAAAAGCTCTACCATCATTTGGATGGGACACAGAACCTGTTGTCGTTAACGAGGAGGTGATCGAAGAACCCTTCGTCGACGTCTTTTGCGATCTCATATACGGCGGAGGCTGGATGGATCTAGAAAGATATGAAGAGCTTGATAGGGATTGTAACTGGGCTCTGGTACGTCATAATTTCTTCAATGCCCGAAAGGCACCTAATCAGTAACTTATAGGTTGAATTCAAATCGCTCCCTGTCAATCGAACGACGGCTTCTGGTGGTTCAGACCCCCGCACCGCAACTACTCTCATTCTCTTCGAAGAATTTGTTCCACTAGAGTATAGGCAGCAGCTGGCCATCCCGCCCTCGACACGACGGCGACTTCCTCTCCTTTTCTCTCCTTCGTCAAAATCAAAGGCCTGGAAACAGGCTGCTACCCTCAACGGACGCCCGTACGTCGTTGGCCACGTGCCCCATAGTCCCTCCTACCGTGAAGTCGAATTTGAAGGATTACTGCGCGGGGGAGGCGGCACGAAGGTCATCACCCTTGGATCCAAGCCATCGATTAAAGTCCCCCCTGCGGTCCAACCAGATTTTCTCTTACCAGAGGTTGTGATGCCAGTTCGCCAGAAGATACCCTCACCCACACCACCACGATCGCCAGTTCCCCCGCTGGCTCCGGCAAAAACGGCCACCATCTCCAGCCCCCTCTACGTACCCGCACCCGATATACCTCCTGCCCCAAAGAGCGACGAGATGCACTCCGACTCAACAATGTCGCCGTCAGTCTCCTCCACGAAGCGCTCACCGCGTTTTCGCCTGCCAGGCGGGATTCCCGTACCTAGTCCTGGCGGCCGCAAAACGGGCCGAGGACCATCTGAGTACTCAACGGTCGATTTTGAGACTAGGCTGGCTAGCTACAGTGATGATGAGTACGAGCCTGAGGCCGCTAAACAGAAGCGGCGCGAGACCAAGAACGACGCGTGGGTGGACATCCTCGTTGGGTCGCAGAGACGGCGCATGGCGGGACAGGAAGCGGAGATGAAGGGCTCCATCGGTCTGCACTCTCGTCGTTCGGATCCGGACATCGCAAGTCACGAAGTCGCGCAGGTGCTTGCGGCCGTTAGGGATCGCACACCCTCACTTCCCAGTGTGCATCACGAACGGGTGGACCGTGATCCATTTGGGGGGTTGGACCATCTGCATGATGTGGATGTGGATGAGATCGAGAGGGTACCGCGGACGAGTGAGGCGAGCGACTACACCAACGATCACTCCGTGGAACACGAACATAATATATATACGGAGCCCGAACCATCGCCTGAACCTGAGCCCGTCAATGACGAGGAAATTATCGAACAGAGCCCCATCACCGCCAAGAGTCAGCGACGTTTGGGATATTTTGATCTTTATCCTGAGCGCAGGCCAGGTGTACAGGTCAGCCCGCCGCGGAAGGATGCTGAGGATGCGCGTCTGGCCTATGATGAGGACAGTGATGAGAATGTCAAGCCATTATCCGAGGTTGTGACTCCTACACAGCCTCTAAGAAAGTTGCCCATTCCCCCAGCACCACTACAGCCCGCGCCTGTACCCCCCTCTGCACCTATCCCTATTGTGAAGATCGACCTCGCAAAGGTTGAGCCACCGCCTATCACTCCCAAGCCATCAAGTAACGGTGTGGAACCGTCTGCACCTTCATCCCCAACAGCCATTCCGACGAGCAAGACCGCCGCCTTGATCGAGATGTACCGCGAACGCGAGCGTGGGTCCTCTCCAAAACCATCCGCTGGAACGATGCCCATACCAGCTCCGATCCCCATAACACCCCTGCAGCCCACTCGACTCCCTGTGCGCACAGTCTCGTTGCCGAAAGACCCCCCATCCGCCATCGTCGCGCCTATTCCCACCCTCCCCAAGGTCCCAAAGACGCCGTCGCCTGAGCCCGCCCTGGTTGAACCGCCCCGCATCAATATTGAGGAGACGGGACGTGTAAGTCCCGCGCGTTATGTGCATGGGGCACCGCTGCACAATGTTTTGGAGGAGGAGGAGGAGGAATGAGGGTGACTGAATCTCAAGCCTGCATCCCACAGCCAACGCGAAGCATTCCCCAGTCCCACAACCCCGATCGCCATGACAGATTTGACCGGGCATCCAGATCTGGTTCTATGATACCACTTTTATATCTGTAAAGCTATAGCCAAGCCCATTATGATATCAGTCGTCGCACGCACGACTCGACCGAGCCCCTCCCTTACTCGTCCTGTTGTGTTGCATACCCTAGTTATATTTCACATTCACCCCCAGACCGAGCCGCCCGTTCCTTTTGAACATCGATGACAGTGCTGCACTGATGATACCCGGCCGGAGCTGGATACCAGATTCTTCCCATACCTACATACATACACTAGCTTCTGAATACACTCTTCAGAATGACACTGCTTTCCGCTTTCTCAAATATTTGACCGGTGTCAACAGGCAATGTGTATGTAGTATTTGAGGTGAAGTTTTGCAACCGTATTTCCTCCTTGGACAGCACCAAG